ACTGACGTAGCCTGCTTTTCTATCTCCATTGCGATTGGGCATTCATCAGGAGGTATGTTTGGTGTTGTTCTTGCCGCCGTCATCAAGATCCTCTCCTCTACGTACCTCTGCCTCTATGTACGGAGTATGTGGTCAAGTACTTGTACTAGATAGGAGGTATACTAATCCTGGGTGACACTAGCAACAACGGCGTCGCATCAGGTCAATTTAAGTATGCGGCAGGCGGCGGGTTGGAAGTGGGCCGAAGGTCAACAACACCAGCTCTGGGCCAGGATGGATTCACTCGTCTTCAACAAGCTCCCCACCGCGCTACGGTACCTACCATGCCGAGCACTACTCTCTACCGTCGCGGGCACTCTCGCTTCCCCCTCCTACACAGCATAGCATCGTAGCGGCCGCCCCTATTTGCCTTCAATGTGTTCAGCTGTCATTCATTCACGGCCGGAACACACACTTCCTCTCGCTGTTTTATATTTACCAAGCTATACTATCTAAATACGCACTGTCGCTTGCCTCGGGAGCTAGGTAGCTACCTAGGTAGCTAATCTGCCAGATCTATCACCTCTATTAGTACCACACTGTCGCTTGCGCTCCCTTCTCCGCCGTGCCGTCTCGTCTCCTGTACCTCGAGCCTTCGAGCCTTCGTTGTCCTCGGCGACCCAGCGCTGCCTTTCGGCATCCCTTGCGCGTAATGGCTCAGCAGGGAGGGGGGGAGGACGTGTATGCCACAGTTCGTCCACGCTGCCCTCCATGGCCCGTCTTCCTCGTCAGGCAAAATCTAACCCCTTACGCTGCTAGCTGCTATTGACCGACACATACTTGCCCGGTAAACGCCCCAGCCTCAATGGACATGGAACACAGATGCTGACGTGGTAGAAAGGCGCGCTTGTCCTCGCGCACTCCCTGCGCGATGCCGCTACGACGAAGAAGCTGGCCGCGCTGGTCACCCTCGACAGCGTATCCGCCGAAGCCATCACCGAGCTCAAGGTGAGCTCGTCCCCAGACCAAACTGCTGAGCTGCGCGCCTCGCTAAACCTGCCGGCTAGTCGGTCTATCACTATGTCATCCCCGTCCCTCGCATCCGCAATGCGCACCCGGCCAACCTACAGCTGATGAACCGAACCGACCTGCACTCTGCCTTCACCAAGATCAACCTCTGGAGCCAGACCCAGTTCCGCAAGATCGTCTACATAGACTCCGACGTCGTCGCCTATCGAGCCCCTGACGAGCTCTTCAGCATACAACATCCCTTCTCCGCCGCCCCAGACATCGGGTGGCCCGATCTATTCAACACTGGTGTCATGGTTCTGACCCCAAACATGGGCGACTATTACGCCATGATGGCAATGGCCGAGAGGGGGATATCCTTCGACGGCGCAGACCAGGGCCTCATAAATACCCATTTTCGTAACAACTACAACCGCATCAGTTTCACATACAACGTTACTCCGTCCGCACACTACCAGTACATACCCGCGTATCGACATTTTCAGTCTAGTATTAATATGGTACATTTCATTGGCTCGGATAAGCCATGGTTTCAGGGACGACATGCGAGTACCGGAAGCTCACCTTTTGACGAGATGACAGGGAGATGGTGGGCAGTCTACGATCATCATTATAGGGTAGTGGTAAGTCGGCCTCTGCACTGCCATCTTCTATTGGATGTTCTACTTACTCTTTTAAAGGCGCCGCAACCCGCATCTTCAGTGCCTGCGCAAGCTCCTGGTACAGTGACGGCTGCGAAGCCGGTTCCAGAGCTCGTGCAATATCTTACTAAGGGAGAATATCAGCCTCGGAGCTCGCATGTAGGGTCATTCAATAATGGTCATGGCGACGAGCATCGTGGCCATAGAAAACTGGATGAGGCAACGACTCTAAGCGAAGCACAACGTCATCACCACCCTGATGCTGCCGGCTCCATAGTGCACAGCGAGTCTTACCAACAGCATCCTCATGATCATGTCCAAGAAGAGCCCCCGCTCGGCGTCAGCACTCAGAAGCCTGAGCCCTCCAGTTTTATTTCTAGCGATATGATCTCAGCTTTTAGAGATGATGAGGATACGCAAGCTAAAGATGACGAAGAGCAGATTCACGCTCAGGGGTTGCCTGTACCGCCTCCTCAACCAGAGCAGAAGCCCCAGCCGTTCCAACCATCCATGTCAAGCTGGGATGCTCAAAGGTTGATGTTCCTCTGTCGCTTGGACATAACGTGTCGGAAGCTAACACTATGGCAGGCATCCACCTCCCCCACAATCAAAGCCAGAGGCCGCAGATTTCCCCTCTACAATATATGAGATGTCCAAGACCACTACTCCTTTTATCCCTCCCCGGCAGTACCCAAGCCCTCCAAAAGGCATGTGGTACGAGGTTCCCAAGGAAGCACCGGCAGATCCCTCGAAGCCGCTACAGCCTATCTTTCCCTGGGAAGCGCACCGACCCAAGCCGTCTCGCGTGTTTGTCGACGTGGAGCGTAGAGTGTCCGTATCTACAGAGACGCGCGATCTAGAGGCGTCTTCTGGTGAGCCGCAGCCTATGCTCGATGCACAACAATCAGTTGAGACTTCGGCAGAAGAAACTGAACAGCAGAGTGGGCCAGTGACGCCTACGACCCCGACAATCGAAATCTCGGGGGTGGATCCATGGACTTCATACTCGCGGACTAATGCATGGGATGAAGTGCCGGAAATCGAACGATATGTCGGTTTCATGCAGAAGCGCCAAAGATCAAGAAGTGGCAGGTTCCCCGGCGTGATTGCATTGCCAGGTTCCAGTGACGGTGTAGATAGCGCGACATGGCAACGGCGAGGGAGTAGGGTGACCGATTTCCCAGACGAAATTGAGCGCCCAAGTTTGCCTGTTACGCCTGCGCCGATCCGCCCATCGAAGTTCTGGGGTAGCGACTCGGGCGCCAGTCAGGGCGACAATAAACCACCATTGCCTTCCGCAGAAGGTGTCCCCGGTCAGAGCGATTGGGTATGTGGTAAGTATTGATCGTCAAGGTTATCATCTTCTTGCTAGATTAAGCTCTGGACCATGTATGCTCCTTTTGGGTCACGATGCAGCCCTAGTTTCTCGGAGCTTTTCCAAAATATCACTATATCACAGTTAGGACGGAAACAACTAACTCTATTCATTCTAGTTCACGGAAGGTGGTGGACTTTTGCAGATTGCCGTTGCTAATTTGCTAACGTCCTATGTGGTCACAAGGATCCGGTGACACAGCTTCAAAAGTTAGCTAGGCAGCAAAGCGAAGAACTCCTGAAGAGACTTGGCGGTAGTAGCCCAGACGGCGGCTCTCTATCGCCTCGGCTTTCGCCTTCTGGTTCTGAGGTGCTGACAGTGCCAACCTACGTTACGCAGTCGACCCAGCTGCTGAGTCCACAGCCCGTGAAAGGAAGTGCAGGCTCAAGTCCGGTCGTCAACCTCGCCGCAGATCTAGAGATGAGGCCTCGCACCGCTCCCATGCCCACGGGAACTGCTACTACGCCAAGCGCGTCAGCTCCTACCAGTGGAGGATCAACTTGCAGCTGAATATAATAAAATAAGGTGCTTGCTTTGCTTTGCTATGCTATACATATCAAGAAGAAAAGTCAGCAATCTTCAGAGAACACCGTCCAATTCTTTTTTGGGGTCGTTAATACTATACTCGCTTGTTACTGATATGCTTCAGGCAACAAACACCACGCGCCCCCCCACACACTTCTTACAGGGGGTGGCAGCCCAAAGATCCAGACAGCGAGCGAGCGAGCGAGTGAGGTGTGTGTGTGCCAAGTAGAAGATGACAAGCTGTTTTTGAGTCTTAGTTTTGTGACGGTGATGATTTATGAACATGAATAATTGCATGAATAGTTAGTTATAAAGGAAGGCTGGTGTGGTGGTAGCTTTCTCGAGCGTTGGGCGGGAGGGACGCTTCAATCTCCGTACCTACTTGATTGATTATCTCGATTGTAATTAATCTAGGAGTGAAAGAACTGTGGCGAGCCATGCATTCATTAGGTGGGCGGCGTCAATCAAACCCGTTCGGCGAGAGTGTTTGTTGATGATGCCGCTTTGCTAGGCCGTGGAGGCTCTGTTGCTTGCTTGCTTGTTCACTCACTCTCTATCCTGGTTGCAGACTTTGTCCTTCTTTTTCTCTTATCTTTTTCTTGGATTTTTTTGACATCGTGTTCTATCTATATTGCTCCTATTTTATCTACTTTTGTCAGTCATCCTATCCGGGTTGCTGTTATGTTTTGATAAGTATAGTATATATTTATTGATGGTCTGATGATATATATATTTGAGGATTCTTTGGCTCAAGAGCAGAGCACTCACCACACCGCCGTTGATCATTCCCTGACAATCAAAGTCTTGATTGACCGTCGCCTCCATCCAAGACGATCGATGAACTATGAATGGGTCGGTCGGTCGGATAGGACGACGGTTCGGAGGGCACAGGCACATACATCGCATGCTTCGCTTCACCTCCCTCCCTCCCTCCCCTCCAATCAGGTCCCGCGGGCCGGAATCGTCCCGGTTCCTTAGATAGATAGTCCTTCGCGGTTGCCCGCCTCGCCTCGCCTCGCCTCGCTCCGCTGAGCGGGAACACGAGACGAAGAACGGAGGGAAGGCTCTCCCTCCCTCGGGTGTGTGTGTGTGTGTGTGTGTGTTGTTTCTCCCGGTTTTGGAGCTGTTTTTTTTTTTTTGCTTGGCGTTGGCGGCCGGCGAGATGTTACTTTGTTTGGTGCTCGGTAAAGAAGAGTTACGTACCTACCTAAGCTAGTAAGTAGTAAGTAAGTAAGTAGGGAGATGGTGAGATGGGGAGTGAGTGAGCGAGTGAGTGGTTGTTGCGGGTTTCACGGATGAAGATTGGTGGGATGTGGAGGAGAGAGGGTATGCATTCTTTATAGAATGTTACACTTTGGGAAAAAGATATGAAAGAAAAAAAAGAAAAAAAGAACTGCTCGATCACCCTTTGTAAAGTACAAATGGTAATGTTAGAATTCACATCTCGCTTTTGACCTCGCTGGGGGTCGAACCCAGAATCTCCTGATCACTCTAGAATAGGATATTTGAACTTCATTAGCTGAGTTCTCTCTCTCCCCTTCCAATCGTAGTCAGACGCCTTGCCATTGGGCCACGAGGCCAATTCGTGTTTGTGGTGTGTGGAGATTGTCGCCGGTTACGTGACGTTAAGACAGCAAAGCATGACAGGGAAGAATGGATAGCCTCGTTTGCAGCGGCGGCGGCGCCAGAAAAAAAAGTTTAGTTGGTTTAGTCTAGTGTGTTTTGTGGCTTTACGCGCGCGTACCTTACTTGGTTTGTGGTTTGTCAAAAAAACATCGGCATTAAAAATTACTCACGTGTTAAAGTGCGAGAAAAGAGGGGTGTGCCTCTCCTAGTCGGAGGCGCTACGGCACATCTGATTTTTGCGTGCGCTACTCACTCCCCGGTCGAGGCTTGCGCGGCTTCTCTCTCCCGTCCATATATGCCTACGCCTACGCCTACGCCTACGCACACGCTTCCGTATAAACTTCTGTTTTTCTCCATTGAGAATTGAAGTCATGTACGGGATATGTAATATCAGACTGCGGACGTTGAGCGCGGTGGTGGGTGGGTGGCTGTAGGCTTTTTTGTTTCAGGGCTGGATTTTTTGAGTTGCCCATTTAGGCGGACGCCTTGGTTGTGATTGGCCAGCTATGAGATTTCTACAAACAAAAATAAAAACGAAAGGAAAAAAAGAAAACAAAAAAAAAAGCCAGGAGTTTTGCGATTTCTCACACACCTTCTTCCCTTCCCCCCCGTTCTTCTCTCAACATCAATGTCGGCGTTTAGGTTGAGCGACGTGTGATCGAGAATGCGGTTATGCGCATCTATTAGTTAGGTGTAAAAAGTCGAGATCGGATGAGGGACCTACCGATGATTCATCTCCGCGTTCTGTCGCTGCCGCCATTATCCTCAACCAGTAAGACGATATTCATCCTAACAACCGGAAGCAATCAGACAAATCGACTTGCCGTCCGAAATGCTCTCGTGTTTCATCACGCGGGTAAGTTGGTGGGATTTTTGCTGAATAACACCTCGCGCACACCATAGATCTTAACTTAGGGTGATCATGTATGATTCGCATCTCCAGGCCCTCCGTCCCCCCCCTCAATGCGAAACGAAAATCATGCAAGCGCATCCGGTGATCGATCCATCCAGGGTGCGCCCAAAGCTGGATGACCTGCGCGGGCCGCGTCAGATCTTTTGATTTTCGAGGCGTACATACCTACATACATATACCGCCGCTCCGTCCCGCAAGGTTGGGAGGCATTTTTAAACTTCGCATGATACCGTAGGATTCCTTATCTACCTAGATCCCAAACGCTGACGTTATACTGCAACTCGACTCGCGTTTCTATAAATGTGCGGTTGGGGAAGAGGCGTCATGAATGGTACGCTTTGGTAGTCTTTACCAATTTAATATTTTCGTCGTTGTATTGGGAAGAGGCAGGTCGGAAAGGAGAGGCTGAAGGAGGGCGCAGTAGCAACATATATCAATGAATATGTGGTAACTATGTGGGGGTTTTGGTGAACCCGAGAGTGCACTTGTGAAGTTTGGACGATCCGATGTGTGTGTGTGTGCTGTTTCTCCTTAACTTACGTGAATGGGCTCCATATCTCACGTAAGGTGGACGGGGGGTGACATGAAGAGAGAAACGAGGCAAAACTCGTATGTACTTGAGTAGGTATGCATGACGTTGGGCTTCCTCATTTCTGCGGTGTAACATGTTTCCCCTTCCACGTTGGGAGCAATCGGGGGACGATCATCGAACACACTTGTCGTACGCTGGTCTATCTATCTGCAACACAGAGCAAGTCAGCCAGAGGCATGGCGAGCGGAGTGAGTGAGCGTGGGCAAAGCGTCTGCATCACGTCAGACCTCATGGTGACACGACAGATGGATGATGGGATGGCCTAAGCGCGGAAAAAGAAATACCCAGGGCTCGACTCGACTGCAGAGAGGAGGTTGCTCGTGGGAAGCGCGGGCGTCGCGGTGATTACGGTACGCTAGGCCCCGCAACCCGGGGTTTGGCTTCTCTTGGGGATTGTCGAGTGGCTGGCCCGTTGGACGTCTTCTACATACTACCTAGTATAACGCAGGTGATGATGATGATGATGTGCAGGTGGGTGGTTTCTGCGGTGCTGGTGCCGGGGGGGGGGGGTTGCTCCAGGGGTAACGGAGTAGAGCCCAGGGGCTCTTTGTTGCTAGTGCCCAATAGAACCGTCAGCCCGGGATGGCGAGTCTGCCGCACAGACGCAGGGGAGCTGCTAAGGCCCTGACTACCCACCTATTTGGAATGGGATGGGGCGATTAATGATGCTAGCAGCAGCAGCAGTATACCTAAATTGCCCGTGCACAAATGCTTCGCTAGGTACTGCTGGCTACTTACTTAGTAAGTGGGTGGTAGCAGCACGCTGCATGCTGCATGCTGCAGGTGGCACATGGTCGGGATGTACTCATGGGATGTACTCACGGGATGTACGTACGATCGTGCAATGAAAGACTGAGGGACGATGCGGTCCGCCTTGGTTCTGTCTGGTTCGACTGTGAAAACTTACGAACACACCGGACCAGATTTCTGGCCTATGTACTTACCTACCTACCTAAGTCAGGCACGAATTGACACATACATTAGGTACCTAAACAGAGTATCTAGTACGCAGCACGAGACGCCGAATACCGAGGTTTCGTGTGGTAATGGATGAAGACAAAGATCGGCACCACGCCTCAGTTAGTTGAATTCTCCCAGCCCGCGCTAAAGATGAAAAGCATGAAGCCCGCCCTCCGGCTGTTCTCGAGTCCGTATACTACCATACCTAGTATGAGGTATGTAGTGCCTGAGTCGTCAGATATTGGATATAAGCACCCGCCTTAGTAGCAGTCATCGCAGATTAGGTAGGGTGCTACGACCTATCTAATACCTCTAGGTAGGTCTAGATAGTCTAGATAGGTGCTGGGTTGTCCTTGGCTGAGCCACTTCCCCGCATTATTAATGCACCATGTTAATGTGGGCTAATGTGGGCTAATGTGCTGGTGGAGGGTCTGGCGCGGAGCAGCGGGAGGGATGAGGTTACATCAGTCTAGCCGCATTGATCGTGACGCAGGTAGGGATTCCGTATACGTAAGAAACTGGAGAGTCAACTGTAAAGAGGCAAGCCCGGCTGCGCTACCCGCATCGGTCCTAGACCGACCGTCTCACGTCCTGTCTACTATCCACCATACCTGTCCTCCGTTCTCGTCGACTTGTGTGGTGACAGGCTTTCCAGGACCTCATTTCCTGTTGGATGCGACTGTTGGATGCCCACTATGTAGGTCCCTGCGCTAGCCTACTATCTTTTACCCTTCTCGAACGGCCACTCCCGGTCCAGTCCCAATCGCAGGAGAATGGCAGGAGAAAGCCCGGGGATCGACAACCACAGCATTGATCCGGGCCACCCGCCTCGATACCATGGTTCGCCTCCTCCCGAGCGAAGACTAGACCTGACGACGTAACTATACGTACCAGCTTATAAGTTAGTATATGCCAGCACGTACGTACGCACCTCGTGCCGTACCCTGTTCGAGACATGCCCTCTTCGTTCTCGCCCGAGCTCGTCGGCCATGGCCATTGGCCGTTTCAACCTAGCACCACTGCAGAAAGGCCCTGTTTCCGATGCGTCTCGAGAACGTGCGACTCGTCCGTGCCGTGCAGGCTATTATTCATCCATCCATCCATCCGTCCATGACCTAGTCCCGTAGAATCGGCCGCTTCTGGCTCAAGTGCTTATACACTACTACCGTAGTCAAGTACGCACCTCTTATTTGCCCTGGCATCGTTACCCACTTCGCTTCTCATTCCTCTTCTGCTTACTGCCTGCAGGCGTGATGATTCTGTCCATGTTGGCTCTAAATTAGCTCCATGTCGCCGTCGCTCGCAGCACCAGCAATCTGGCAGCTGCACAGGATCATCAACGCTAGCCGCGACCAACACGCCCCTTGTCCGTCGCCTTCATCCTTGCCGAGCCATGGCTCGCTAGTTTCTGGGGGGGGAGCCAAGGTATTAGTCTATCACTGTCGATCCCGGTGCCACGGGCATTTGCCACGGGTTACATATCGGCATGCTATCTCTACCTCGCCAGCTCGACTCACTTCCCGTCGTCTGTTGTATATGCCTTCTTCATGACGACACCCCATCAAGCATAACCCTGAGCCAGGTATCGCCCCAATATACCTGTCATCGATGGCATAGAGCTTGGAGGAACTTGGAGATCAATACGTCTACCACTGCGGTTTCCTAACGTGTACATTCTCTTGTATTGTACACCAATTCGTCTTTGGGACTCCGCTGTACAAACGGAAGATATCTCAACTTGCATGACGATGCAAGTTAGGTTGTTGTTGGGGTCAATTGGAATCTATTATTAATCCTCCCGCTATATCGAGGAAGGACAATCAGCCATGGAGAGCCGAACAACGCCGCCACCGAACATTCTGTATGCGCTCAGCGTCATCGAGCGAGTTGGATCAGTACTCTCCTTGACCGGATGTCTCTTCATCATCATCACCTTCCTGTTTTCCAGTGCCTTCCGAAAGCCGATAAACCGCCTCATATTCTATGCGTCATTCGGCAACATGCTGGTCAATGTCGGGACGCTCATCGCCAGAGCCTACGTCGAAAGCGAGGACTCCTTTGGCTGCCAGTTTCAAGCCTTCTTAATTCAACAGTAAGCTGGGCTATCTTCTGGCCATCATTCACGTCTTACTTACACATGTTGACATAGGTTTCTGCCCTCGGATGCTCTGTGGGCTTTTGCTATGTCTTTCAACGTCTATCTGACATTTTACTTTAAATTCGATGCCGAGAAGCTCAAAATGATGGAGAAATGGTATCTTTTGATTTGTTATGGAGTGCCGCTTGCGCCAGCAATCGCTTTTATTTTTATCTCTTCCCAGTCGAAGGGTAGGATATATGGCGATGCTATTCTGTGGTGTTGGGTACGGAACTCGTGGGATATCTTGAGAATTGCTACGTTCTACGGACCTATCTGGTGAGTGCTTCTCCATCTGTGACGTTGTCAATCCACGATAGTTGTTGACGTTACGAAGGGTTATTCTGGCCGC